AAGTGGTAGAGTGCTAGCCTTGAGCAAAAGAAGCTCAGAGAAATGAGTTCAAGCCACAGGACTGGCAAAAAAAGTGGTGAAACAAAAAGGGCTAGAGGTGTGTGGCTCAAACTTTAGAGCTCCTGTCTACAAACATAAAGCCCTGAGTTCAAATCCCAGTGCTGCAAAAAAAAGAAAATATTATTTCCAAGTCCCCCTCAAGTTTACCACATACAGCTGTGCAGCTATGGGCTCCACTGCCCCTGCAGATGTACCATGCCTGCAGTGGACTGCTGTTGGATCATCCCTTAAGTGACTCTTTGGGAGGCACCCCTGGCTATATAAGATATCATTATTTCCATAGTTGCTCAGGCTCAGAACTGGGCAGTCAGCCTGGATTCTTTATTCTTTCTAGCTCTTCATATCTAGCAAGTTATAAGCTAAGTGCCTCTTTCTTGATATCTCTTGTATCTATTCTATTCCATCCTTATTTTTACCCATGACCTGTGGGTAAAAAATCCTGATTACTACAAGCAATCTTTGACCTTTTCTCCTTGCTTCCATCTCTCCCATTGAAATCCCACATTAATCTTCTTACAATACATCTCTGTATCTATCAAGTTTGAACTACTTGTTCAAAATCCTTTGTAACAGGATACTGTTGACTCACACCTGTAATCCTAGCTACTCAGGAGGCTGAGGTCTGAGGATCATGGTTCAAAGACAGCCCAAGCAGGAAAGTCTGTGAGATTCCGATCTCCATTTAACCACCAGAAAAGCAGAAGTGGAGACCGGGTAGCAGTATCTTACACCTGTAATCCTAGCTACTCAGGAGGCTGAGATCTGAGGATCTCAGTTCAAAGTTAGCCTGGGCAGGAAAGTTTGGAAGACTCTTCAATAAACCACCAGAAAACCGGAAGTGGCACTGTGGTTCAAGTGGTAGAGTGCTCTCTTTGAGCTGAATAGCTGAGGGACAGTGCCCAGGCCCAGAGTTCAAAACACACACACACACACACACACACACAGTTCTAGCCTTAAGTGTAAAGAGGCTCAGGGATAGCACCCAAGCACTGAGTTCAAGTCCTATGACCACCACTACCATCACCATCACCACCAACGCCCCCTTTACAACTGTTTTTTTCCATAGACTTGCATCTTAACGCTTCAGGCAAGCCAGACCCTTCCTTACTCTATTATTTCCAACCTCATCCTTTAGCTCACTGCTCCATTTAGTAGCACTTGACCAGGCCTCAAGCTCCTAATCCTCTTATGCCTATCTAAGGTCTGCTTTTTCTTCCAGAGTCAGTTAAAGCCCTAACTCAAGTTCCAAAATTTCATGATATTTCCTATAGCATATTTCCTGCAACATATGCGTTATACCATTGCCACCAGCCTAACTGAACTAGACATAGGGAATATGAACATGGATAAGGTATGGTTCCTGCCCTTGAGGAGTTCATGAACTTGTTCAGATGAAGCAAAAATTATATATATATTTATATTATCTATTCCTAGTGCTAACTAGTATCTTCTACAGTATAGATAAGTACTTATTGCTTTTAATGATCATGATGAGAGACAAATGGTTTTTATGAATTATAATGAAGCAAGGTAGGAATTAGAAAATTTTACTCAATGTATTTTATGTAATTAAATTAAAAATTCAAGTAAAGAAAACTACTGTCCATCTTCCTCGTAGGTATTGTAGAAACTCTTTTTTACTCATAAATCTATAAATGCCCTAAAAAAACCTTAAGATTAGTATTATGCAGATCATTTTCTGGGACTGTAAAAGGAGGTATACTAATTTTTTGTGATCATTTGCAAAGTTAATTGAACTTTTTCTATAATAATTCTATAGTAATGTCCATATATGCACATTATATACTCTCATAAATGCACACACACATATAGATATACTATAAGAAATCTCTAGTCATTAAATTAATTCATTAACAATTTATTAAAAGTCAAAAGCTTTTAATGAAATGTTACCTTATCATAATATGGTGGGTGAAATCGTTACTACACACTAATTCAGAAAATACATCACATCACAAAGCCTCATTGGTACTGATAGTAGACTTGGTAAAGATCTCCAGCAAAATTCAGCCTACATGGCTGGTACTTTAGAAACAAAGAATTAGGTTTTTAATTTCTTATACTAACTCTAAAACTCCTAAAAAACCAGTCTTCACAGGGATTACATGTCAAGTTATGTTTATATGAATGAATGTTTTGTGTCCAGGATAAGAAAAAAGTAGAACCTGTGAAATAGACATGTAGGTAATCAATAATGATCATATTCCAGAGGTGAAATGAAGAAATTACTAATAACCACAACAGGTTGGCCAAAAAGTTTCCTGCAGGATCTGGGTTCAAAGGAGGAGAGAGAACCAATCTGTCTCCAGTTTTGGAGTCAGAAGGAAGAAGAGAGTGACAAGTGAATCCATTTGTAATAAAGTAGATAACACTGAAACACTCTGCCTTACAACGAAAATAGCATTTCATTCTCCGAAAGTATATATTTATAAAGTTGTGATTGGGGAGGGTGGGAAGAAAGACAGAATTAAATGGAAAGCAAATAAGTTGTTAAAGATAATTAAAACCACCATAAACATAGGGACTGGGAATTCTTAAAGTTTCCCTTTTTGCCTCCATTGGCATTTTATTCTTTTTCGTGGTCTCTGTTTGGAAAGGTCCGTGGGAGGTAAGATAAGACACCAGTCATCGTGAGCACACACAGCTGGCACCAGGCTACTTTATTTCTGCCAGGGCTGCTCACTGCATACTGGCCTCTGACAAACCAGTGGCAGGAGCTAACACTTCTTCTAGAGTCACAGGGCCAAACAGAAGGTTGGGGTGTTCCAACCAACCCAGACTCATTCCTGTAGACATGGGAGTAGCAGGTGGCCATCAGAGCTACAAGTTGAGAGAGGCCAGAAAAGCATAATCTTGAAGGGGCTTTGGAACTGGGCTGGTGCTCAGATCCTGGCTTCTAAAGCAAAGGCAAAGGCATAGACCAAAACAGGCAAACAAAAGCCCCAAGCCAAACCATGTGGAAGAACTAGAGAGAAATGGGGCACTAGGAGACTAGGCGCCTGTACCAAATAGGAACCAGATGCAACTTTCAAATGTGTTCACATTTGCATGATATGCCTGTATTTACAGCTCATAGGAGAATTTACTGTTCCATCCTCCACACACCTGGAGTGGAAACTTATACTCCTTTTACAGATAAAAGGGTGTCTGACAATGAGAAAACCCAAACTACTTTTGAATAAAACTGTAGATCTTGATTCAAGGATGATGGCGTTTATACCTATTCATTGACGATGTTGACATGGGAGAAAGAGATGGATCAGATCAACCTCAAGTTCCTTAAGCTATGAACTTAGTTGCAGAACATCATAAAGTACAGATCAAAATGTCTCTGACCCAAATTTTATGAATAGTTTTAAGGTTCAGGAGAGCATGTTTTTTGTGTCCCAGGCTTTATAGACACTAGTTCACACTGACAAGGAAAAGCAGAAGTGAGTCACTACTATGAAAACCACCATATTATAGATATTTTCTCAAATGACCGCTTTCTTAAAAAGTATAGAAAAAAATCGAATTATTGGTTACTTTTCTGATTAGCACCGTTATCTTAATCCATTTCAACCGACATAATTGAAAAGAAATGGAAAGAAAATATATTTTCTCTTTGGATACCCTTAGTCTTAGATGAAAATAGGCATGTGAACATGTTGAAAGTATGTGTGAACATGTTAAAAGTATGTGTGCGTGTATACAGATTTGGGGGTTTGTTTGCTAGCCAACTCAATTTTTGACAAAGAAAAATGGACTACCCTTGCTTTTACACAAAGATGCACTGTTTCAGGCAAGCTTGGGAGAAAGAGAGAGAGAGAGGAGAGGGAGGGAGGGAGGGAGGGAAGGAGGAAGGGAGGGAGGGGCAGAGAGAGAGAGAGGCAGAGAGACAGAGACACAGACAGAAATGCAGAGAGATAGGGACAGAGACAAAAATGAATTTGTGTTTAACTAAAAAAAAGTTAAGACAATATCCAGCATGGTAATTTAGTTAGTGTAAACTTTCTGTTAGACTTATGAGAATTTAAAATATATTTGTCATAAAAAGTTAAAATCCTAGTGTCTGATAGCTTAACAGTATGCAACTTATGTAAATCCCATAATTAGAGATGCAGTTAGTTCTTTTAAAAAAAATGTTTTTTTGTCCAGGCAGTTGTAAAGTACTCAAAGTTCCGAAAAGGAAAGAGGCAGAGTCTATGTGGAGTGGGGCTATGCGTCTTCTCCACCGACCTGCCATCTGGGCTTGTTTATTTGTGTTTCTAACTTTCTGGAACAGAGAAACTCTGTTCCAGACAGGGCACAGAGCAAAGGAAGTGTGTAATAGAAAACAACTTTTTTTTCCTTCTTCTTTTTTCCGTTAAACTGTATTTTCAAACTTTAGTTGGGTCATAAATATCAAGTAAGCGGCACAATCACAAAATTCTACATAGTTAGTCACCTCAAATTTGTCTCAGCAAACAATCTTCCCGAATTTGGTCTGGGAAACACTGCCTACATGGTGCCTTCTCGTGCTTTTCAAACCCCTTTCAAAAACACAAGCTGTCATTAAGACTTCAGATATTTGGCCTGCAGATCAGTCATTTTCCACAAACCCTTCCACAAATAAGCATTTGATTTAAAAACAAAAGAAACATTTCCAAGCAGTTTCCCTAATTTTGTAAAATACACAGGAACCATCATACAAGGAAAAACAAAAAGAGAAACAACAACAACAACAAAACAGAAAGAAAAAAAAATCCAGAAGGGAAAAAAAAGCAAATACAATAAAGCAAAAATCCAAATTAAGAAACAAAGCATTACTGTTAGAGGGGATTATACAATCTGACTGTGAAGAACAGTATAAGAATTTGTAAGTCAACAGTAAAAAAATTAGTTATTAGTTGTCTCTTATTTTGGGAAGATTTCACAGCTAAAAGAGAAGCAAAAGGTACCTTGTAATGTAAAATCCAGTAATACATATTCGTAAGCGAATTCCGTCTTTGTTTCCACTTGTGGTCTCTTCAGGGTAGAAAATATTTTTCCAGGACTGCTATCATCAGGGTCTTCCAGCTTTCGAAGTCCGCACCCCATAGCAAAGTCTGCGAGGAATTAGACTGCAGGGAAGGAGAGGGAGGGCAGAAAATTCTGTTGTTTAAGCTGCGAAAAGAAAGTTACAGACTTCACTGCTTTGATTGGGTTTTCGGCTGAGCCATCAATACCCAGCCAGAAAACATCAGAGTCCAAAGAAAGGAGCTGAAGATGGTTTCTGTCCATTTTTGTGTAAAGTCCCTGAGTCCATGATGTAGCTACAGATTCTGGGCAGGGCTTGATCTCAGAGAAACATTCAAGCTGCTGCAACTTAGTGGAGAATTTCCATGCCACGTCAATTCACAGCCAGCCAGCCCCCTACCAGAGTGCTGTGGCTCTGGGCACCAACTGTGCTTTGTCTATCCCAGTTGGCCAGATGATAAAAGAGGTCCCCAAACGGAAATAAAAAGGCAAAAGTGCAACTTGGATGTAATTATATACCAGTAGATATATCCAGATAACAGTGGCATGTAATTTTTTTCTGTACCCCCCTTTTCTCTGTCCTGTGCTCACCCTTCTTTTCCTTCTTCCTTTAGAGAGTGGGGAAGCGGGGGAAGGAGAGGAGAGAGAATTAAAAAGGGAATTCTCAGCATGGTTGGAAACAAAAATCTTTTCCAGAAAGGAAATTGGCTTTTTGAAGAAACTGTTTCTGGAATCTAAAAGAAGAGAAGCAAAGTGCAAAAAAGCACTTGAGTCTTTTAGGTAACACTAGGAAAATTTCATTCTATGTGGAGTAATTTTTTTTCCTGGAAAAAGATCTTATGGTGATTAGAACTACCAAGTATTAAAAATTTATATTAAAATACTTTCATAAAAACACTACTTGGAGGAAAAAGAGGGTGGGTAATGGAATGGTTGAGGGAATATTTTCAAACTACATTACATACGAAAATGTCACAATGACACCATTGTTTTGTATAATTAATATATTAATATTAATTAAAAGATTTTTACTCACAAAAGAGAGTTATATGGATAATTAGTTTTTCTTAGTTTAAAGCAGTTTAAAATACTTAAGATGATAATGCAATATTTCTACAGATCTCAAAGTATCTTTTATTTTTTTTGGTCGTGGGGCTTGAACTCTGGGCCTGGGTGCTGTCCCTCAGATCTTCAGCTCAAGGCTAGCACTCTTACCACTTGACTGCCAGTGCCACTTCTGGTATTCTGGTGGTTAACTGTTGATAAGAGTCTCACGGATTTTCTTGCCCCAGCTGGCTTTGAACAGTGATCCTCAGATCTCAGACTCCAGAGTAGCTAGGATTACAGGCGTGAGCCACAAGTGCCTGGCTTTTTTGTTCTTCTAAAAAATTACTTTCTTTAAGTACAAAATGGTTACCGTTCAACAAATCAGTTTATGAGTACAATGCTGTTGCCCCACATCCCTCCCAACCCCACCCATCCCCTCAAGTTACCCAGTTCTATTTTCACATTTGTGCATTGAACGTTATGATGACATTCACCCGCCACACCTGTCTCCATTTGTCTGTCTCCCATCCCTTTGACCTCCTTCACTCCTGAACATGTTTCAGCTTCCTGGCGTTCATTTTGTTAAACTCTAAGTTCCAAGAACCCTTCATTAAAATCAAACCAAACCAAACTCACTTTGACAACTGGACTCATTCAGTCATAAACTGCCATTGACCTGAAGTCAAGAGCACTTTTGATTGCAGTGTGGTTGGCACATGGAATGACACTGCCTGGATTCGAATCCTGCTTCTTAGGACTACTACAGATAATGTTCCTGGAAAAGTGACTTGGCCTCTTCAAGTTTCAATTTCCTCTCCTCTAGAGTAGAGTTAATAGTAGTACTTCCCAGGCAGGTTTTTAGGAAGGCTGAGTGAGACAGTCTAATCTCTTATCTGAACACTATATCTGGTGAATAGCACAAAATATATTTATTAATGAGTGTATGTTAGAAATCAGTGTGGCAGCACTACTCCCATTATTTACACACTAAACCCTGATCACATTTGAGATGTGGAGAATTCTAGTCTGAGAAGATTTCTTCATCTCATCGAAGTGTGCACCTGAAAACTCTCAAGGAGGGTGCTGCATTAGTTTGCAGATTATTTTAAGCTTTACGGCTTTCTTCTTCCTGCTTCCCTTTCATGCCTTCTTTCTCTGAAGTGCTCTTGCTAGAGGGCAACTCCACGGTTGTCCATAGTGTGTCCAACCATCAGCATGGTCATGGGAGGCAAAGTCTGAGCAAATTTGGCTAAAGAGGCAGTATACGGGGACACCGTGGTTTATTGGACTATTTATAATGCTTTCAGACCTGTCATTTTTCACGAATTCTTTTGTAGAATTCTCTTGTACAGCAGAACCGAAACCTTTGATAGTCACTAGGATCTAGTACAGTGACTGGAAGATTCTTTGTGAAGTACTCATATTTGTCAGGTATCTACTATCATATTCCAGACACTGGGTGCTGAATATAGAAGATGACTAACCCTTGCTTATGCCTTAAAGGCACTTCTTCTGAAATGGGGAAGATGGACTTGGAGGATTCTAGTGTGAGCTGGTTGCTGCTGTGGTGGAAGCACACATAGGACATGACTGCAGAGGCTTGTCTTTCACTGATAATGACCTGTGAGTTGCTTTCAGGATGAACATGCCTAGTATAGAAGGGAAGTGAGGAATCATGAAACATCCCAACAGGGGGCAGCTGAGAACTGCTAGAACATGAAGTGTGAAAAGAGACTAAGCTGCTGAAGGGTTGTATGCCATACAGAGAGAATTTAGAGTTTATCTTGTAGGCAACAAAAAGGAATCAATTAAATGGAAGACTCAAATGAGGAGTTTGAAGTAGACAAAGAATACTAATTTACATTTGTCTTATGGGACTGGAGGCGATTTTGGTGTAAATACTGTTCTTTTTTTGTTTTGTTTTCAGTCCTGGGATTTGAACTCAGAGCTTGACACTTGATAGGCAAGTAGTCTACTAGTTGAGTCTTGAGAATTTGTCTGCCCAGGTTGGTTCTGTTTTTAGATCTCAATCTTCTGAGCAGCTAGAATTATACACATGGGCCACTGGCTCCTAACTAAGACTGAACTCTAGAATGAAGAATGAAGGCTGGTCAGGAAGATAATGCAGTCGTTCAGCCTCCTAAGTAGCTAGGATTCTAGGTATAAGCCACCAGTGCCTGGCTCTTTAATGGTATTTTAAGAGTGCATATTCTTTCTTTTTATTGTTATTATTAAGTAGTTGTACATAGGAGTTGCAATTCTGTAAGTCAGGTTACAAGTATCATGCTTCTCGACAATGTCACCCCTTCCTTCTTCATTCTCTCTCTCTGATCCCTACCCACGAGTTACATAGTTCCATTTTACACAGTATATATAGAATGCAACCACTTCCTCCATTCCTGTGCCCCCTTTGACCTCTTCCCAAACAAGGCAAGTTTCCATTTTCTGGTATTCGTTTATTTTTTTCATTATTTAGAGAATACTTTATTAGTTTCTGTAATCAAACCCACATAGATAAGATCTTACATATTTAATACAGTGTGTTTACCCCTGTACAAATGGAAAAAATTAAGTTTAATGTTTCTAGACCAGTATGGCTATTAATTTCTGTACCATGCCAACTCAACATGGTAAACTGGGATACTTTGTCCAAAGTTGAGAGCACAGCTAAAGTTTCTAAAAATTTAAATTATATATACATATGTCTGTATATATATATATATATATATATATATATCAATAAGAGCAGTATGTTATGCATCAATAGCAGCAACAACTTTTCCAGGTTCTGCAGTCATCTGAACTGATATTTGTTTTGATAATAATCCTTTAGTTTTTGCCTTTGTCTTCCTTCTCTAAATATACCCTCCTTTAGTCAGCTTGTGTGTAAACATTTTGAGCTCTGTATATGTTATCATATATATTGTCATATATTTTAGATACAGAAAATCACATTTTCATTAACAAATATGTCAGGTAAACCTTCCTGCTATTTTAACAATTAGTGTTGTTTCTCTGTAACTGCAGTTTCCACACATACAGGTTCAATTAACTTTGGATTGAAGATAATAAAAGGAGTTGTCAGGTGCCAGTGGCTCATGCTGTAATTCTAGCTACTTAGGAGACAGATCTGAGGATCATGGGCAGGAAAGGCCATGAGACTCTTATCTCCAGTTAACCAGCAAAAAGCCAGAAGTGAAGCTGTGGCTCAAGTGTGGTGGAGTATTAGCTTTGAGCAAAAAAAAAAATGTCCAGGCCTGAGCTCAAGCCCCAGGACCTGCACAAAAAAACAAAACAAAGAAACTCCCCCACCCCATAAAAAAGTTATGTCTGTACTGAACATGTGAAGCTGTTTTTTCTTGTCATTATTTCCTAAGCAATACAGTTTAATAACTATTTACATAGCACTTATATCTACTACCTTATAATATTAGGTATCAAAAGTAATCTGGAGGAGAGTTAGTGGGAGGACAATGTAGTCATAAGCAACTCTGCATCATTCCACAAGAGGGACCTGAGCACTGTGGAGTCTGGTATGGGTAGACAGTCTGAATCCTCATGGATATCATGGGCTGACTGTGTATGGCATTTCGCTGCAAAAATGAACTACACAACTTGTGGGGGAGGGGATTGGGAGGGAAAAACAGAGAGTGAGCGAAGAGGTGACACAGTTCAAGAAGAAATGTACTCATTACCTAATTTGGGCTACTTTCAAGTTCCTTCCTTTCCTTCCTCCTTCACTCCCTCCCTCCTTACCTCCTACCTTCCCTTTCTTTCTCCTTCCTTCCTTCCTTCTTCCTTCCTTTCTTTCTTCCTTCCTTCCTTCTCCCTCCCTCCTTCTTTCTTTCCTTCCTCTTTCTCGTACTGGGGTTTGAACTCAAGCCTGGACCATAGG